TGACAGTATGATGCTGGCAATGGTGTTCTTTTTGCATCAGGTCCTAATCTAAGTTTTAAGATTCTCCAGGTAATACATGGCTTGGGAAGATGCAGGATAAATGTTCCTCAGTCCTTCAAATAACAAGATTCTTTTAATCCTGACTACAAAGAAACATTACCATTGTATGCTTGTGATATTTTCTACTTTGTCTATCAATCATTCTTCTTACCTGAACAGCATACAAACCTCAAGTATATTATAGTTTTGTGTTCTGCTATTAGGTTGTTAATGTGTTAGGACTCATAGTTATCACACTTAGAATACTCTCAATCTTTCCCATCTTACAAACTGTGTTTTGAAAAATCCAACTTCATGAGACCCAATTGTTAAATTTATCTTCTACACTTTATAGGTGAACAGCTAAGCAGTTCATCTATATAATTTAAAATAGGTGCATTTATGTCCCACAGTCTTAAGATGCAGTGCTTCTGATCCTTTGTTACCAAAGTATTTCACCAGTCAGATCATCAACTTTGCTTCTGATTGTTCATTTCCATGGCTGAGGTGGGGATTGGGAGAAGAATTGAAAAGGTAGTTAAGTGAGCTGTTCCTAACACATTTAAAACAGCTATTAAAGTTTGTTTTGGGCAATGGAGCAGAACAAATATACCATTTACAAGTATATTTTACCGGCTGTAGGTAGGAATAAAAGCATCTTTAATCAAATATGATCAGAAATGCATTGTGCTTTAGCTTATCAATAGGCTTATTTTGGATTTAAATTGAGATGGTAAATTGCAAAGTAGATGAAAGGAATCATTTAACCTTTTATAACTACTTCTTCCATATAGACCATCAGTTTCTTCATTAAGACCTAACTAATTCTTGAATGATTCCAAGGTTTTAGGGATTAATCTTTTTACTGCACTCCGTGTCCTTTTGCCATTGTCTTGTGATTCTAGGGAACAGCTTGGGGTCTTGCTTTGTATTGTTATTATGGCTTGCCCGTATTTATTATGCCTTAGCCACCAATTGAACACAACATTCAAAGTGCATCCTGACCAGAACTTACCTGGCGTTAGGATGTTAGCCTTAGATTTAAACTCTCTCCATTTGGGATACAATATAAATGTCTTATCTCTGAAAATCCACAAGGCTGACTGATGTAGGAAATCGATACTATATATTGGGCTAGTAAGAGATTCCTAAATGAAATAAATTATCACTAATTTTGTTTGATTCTGATCTTAGTGAAGATCCACAAATTTAACTTGCAACAAGATCATTCAATATTTTTCAGAATTGGGAACTTTCCTTCTATTGGCTTCGTTGGCCATGTTTGCCTTGAAGGCTTTGTCCAGTTAGTTAAATAGTCCAAGCTGGAGCCGTTGCTAGTATTATCTGATTTGGTACCTGTCTATATCAAACTCCAGTTCACATGAAGAAAAATATTTTTAGTGGGAAAGTTGTTGGAGTGATAATAAAATTTGGTCTGATCACTGGCAGATGTGACACTGCATTATTGCAAGCTTTTACGTTTGCAGTTGCCCATTTGTTTCACTTCGTTTTTCTCCACCTTCTCTTAGGTCCTATACTTGAAGAACCTTAATCCAAAAGCTACTCTGGAGGATCTATTTTCCTTATTCGTTTCTTTCCAACAAAAAGATGGTCCTCAGCTGATTTTCCGATTGTTGACAGGCCGAATGAAGGGACAAGCATTCATCACCTTCCCAAGTACGTATTGCTGCATGATTAAGGCAGATGCTTTACAAAATGAAGTCCATTAGCAATATCAATGGGGGATCACACCAGATTAGTTGGAACTTTGCATCTTAATCGTGGCTGAAAAACACGTGATATTGGATTGGTTACTTGTTACAAATCCAGTATAGTTTTTCTTTGTTTGAATAAAGATCAACTTGTTTAAAGTTAAAAGTGCAGCTAACAGCAAAACTACATGTTTGTTGTCAGTTGCACTTACAATTATAAATTCATCTTTTATGATCATTTGAGATGCTGTTGGCAGTTTTGCAGTTTTTTGTATTGTTTCAAACACTTATGTATGTTCTAAGTTGCAAATTGTGTTCAATGTGGTGGCCAGAATGGCTTCAGCTCTGTGGCCTTTGTATACAAAGGATGGCATCAGAGGTCAGGGGTCAATGATGAGCCTCAGTGCACAAAGGCATTTCTCCAAATATATATAATTGAAGGTACATTAATCGACAAGTTTTCTGCATAAAGCTTCCTAATGATCAAATACATAGAGGCATTGACCTTTGCAGCCCTAAGTCACAATTTTTTGGTTTGTGATTTGACCAGCACCTGGGGACCACCCAGGCTGGGAGAGGAAAATTAAGATCGAAATTCCAGCTCTTGTTGTTCAATGACCCTTGCTAGAAATTCAGTATGTATGCACATGGAGATCTGGATGAGGCTTGGTTGTGATTCACTTCATGATCAAGTAGCCTGCTGGCACTCACTGGTTTAGCTTATCCAGTGGAACTGTACTCTGAATAGGAATCAAATGTTTCAAGAAAAGGAAAGAGAAAGTTAATTTGTGGGGAGGGAGATGCAGATGTCATAAGAGCATGAGTCTCTTGTACATCACTTGAAGAATTTTAGCACCTGTTTGAGTATGAGTTTCCTGAAAATTATATTAGCAATATTATAGAAAATGGTTCTACCTACATATATTAAATTTGTTTATGCACTATTGTTTTTAGGAGGCAGAACTTCACCACATAACAAACTGATGAACATGTAAAGACTGTCCCTATTTAAGTGTTAAAGGAATAGTAAAGATTAAACTTGAGTAGAGTAAAGTGATTATCTTTTTGCGTGTAATACTTAAAATGGTAAAATATCCTGAAGATTTACTTGTTTATTTCTTTGCTTATTACATTGTTTTAGATGTGGAGATGTCAACAGAAGCACTGAACACAGTGAATGGCTACAATCTGTTGGGCAAGCCAATAATAATAGAGTATGGACAGAACCGATTGGACCACTGACTTGTATTTGCAGAAGGAGGCTGATGGATGGAGTTTCAGCATAATAGGCCTGATGATCCCAAGGATCACAGGCATATTGGGAAGTCTTGACATTTAATCTGTCCAACCATATATAGTGGATACATTTTCAACTCTGAACCAAGAATCATTACATTAATGTGGGGAAACAACCTCATCTGTGTATAATGTGTACAATCACTTGTGTTTCTTTTAAAAAACATTTTTGTGCTTTCTGGTATTAAATGCACCAAATGATGTAATATACTGAACCATATCGAATGAGGAAATTCACAGGTTTATTCCCTAATATTCAGCCTTGTGTGTGGAGGTTGCATCTAGAGTACTGCAACTGCAACTTATAACATCATTATTTTTCTGGCAATGAGAGAATAGTAATCTTGTGTTTCGGACTCCTTATCTATTACTCTTTGCCTCCTGTACTGAAGCATTTCAGTTAAGGATCACTATTACTGAAAAATCTAGCAACATTGACGTTCTTGGCTGATAAATGACAAATGGCTTCAATGCAAGGTGTCATTAGCTGTTTACAGTCAAAACCAGGCATTGCTTCAAGAAAGGAGGGGAATAAAACAAGCATTTTTTTTTAAGGAAGGATACATCGCTATACTAACACAACTTGGTTCACATAATGAACTGTAGTTTGTGTACCCTGCATTAAATCTAATTTTCTCATGCATAACTTAGTAGCACTGGGAAATGCTTTAACAATTTTTATTTTAAACTGTCCTAAATTAACTTAATGCCACTGCAGGCATGTATATTTAGGAAAATCTTGTAAATTATAGTTGTGTTCACGAATGAGATCAGGAAAGTAGAATTGTAACCAAACAAGGTGATCTTTCTTACTAAATTAGAATACAGAATTAGGAATTGTGCTTGTGATTTTGAAATGGTTGCAAATTTTGTCACACATTGAGACAGTTATTTGAAAGGGCATGGTTCTGCCTTGAGAGCAAAATTGAACTGACAGGACCATTTTTAAGCAGTTATGTGCTTTCTCATTTGTCAGTCTAGGCAATGATCCAAAGAGATGATAAGCTGATTTTCCAGAAGATTCATGGACTTTGGTTTTGAGTAGCTAAGGGGTGTGAAAATAAATGTTTTGAAAGAAACAAATTTAAAATTCCTACATTCTTGGAGTTTTTTTTTTATATGTTGCCCACAGACATAGCCTAACCAGTATTCATCTTTAAGACTAAGTAGACAGTGTAGATGAATGAATATTAATGTCATTGTTACTTGGGATTAAAATGTTTTTCCAAGTTTAAAAGAAGAAAGAAATGGTTTGCTGTGGTTATTTCAGCTACTGTCTTTCACGATTAAACATCATATGACTTACAAATACATGGATGGAGCTTGTATACTGGGTGCTTTGATCAAATCACATCAAATTGTAATTCTTGAAGGTTGATGATTTAACCCTGTGAACGTTTCCAGGAATACTGTCTTTTCATAGAAACCTACATGCAGGAGTAGGCCATTCAGCTCTTTGAGCCTGCACCACCATTCAATATGATCAGTGGTATACTAAGATAGCTGATCATGCAATCTCAGTATACCACTCCTGCTTTCTCTCCATCCCCCTTTTTCACTTGGGTACCTGTCATTTACTTTATTTAGATAAATTATTGTTGCTTCTTTTAGACACCATTGAATCCCTACAGTGAGGAAAGAGGCCATTTGGCCCATCAAGTCCATAGCTGAATCAGCTAATTCTTTGGTACTATATGACCTGCATCTTTTTCTTGTGTTATGGAAGCTAACATAAGTATTAGCTCAAGTGTGATCTGGATGTTCTTATCCATGAAAGAAAGTTAGCATTCAGGTGCAGTGAGTAATTAAGGAAATAAATGGAAATTTAGCTTGGAGTTTAAAAACAAGGATGTAAGTGTTACAATTGTACAAGATGTTGGTAAGGTCAAATCTGGAGTACGGTGTATGCTTTTGGTCTCCATATTTTCAAAGGAAATGCTGATGAAGCACATGACTTAAGAATAGCTAAACAGATTTGGCCTTCGTTCATTCATTTAGAAGAACTTAATGAAATATTCAAGATTCTGAGGGGGCTGACATAGATGTCAAGATGATGTTTTTACCAGAATCAGAACTTGCTTTGTCACATGTAACCAAGAGTACAGTGAAAAGTTGCCACTTAGCACCATCTTAGATATAAAAGTACCTAGATACAGCTTTAGTTACAACATTGGTTAATGTAACGATGATACCAACACACAATGCCATCTTAGGTACAGAAAAAGAAATGAAAAGAAAAAGGTTACAGCTATACACAGTATAACCATAGGTTAGAGAAACAAAAATCAAAGTTAAGACAGCAAAAATCACAGTCTTTCTTCAAGGTTTCTCCACAGCAGACCAGCACAGGGAGCCTCCATGTGGTTCTGACCACTCCAGGCCGCTGGCATCCCCACTCTGAGCATCTAGTTGCTGGTGGAATCTGAAACTCAGAGCCAGTATTACAAAATATGTAACTCTGTCCATGAGTTCCAGATTCAGAGAATCTATCCCAGAAAAGTGTGGAGTCTAGATCAGTATTTAAAAAGGAGGTAGATAAGGTTTTGGAGTAGACACCAAGAGGAGGAGGAGGAATACCTCTTCCAAGTGTTCAAGGATAATGGATATCCAAAGAACTTGGTCAGGAGATGCCTACAGGAACAGCATCAGAAAGATTCTACATGGCCGAAACACTCATCACACTACCCTACATCAGGAACACGTCAGAACTCACCACAAGACTTCTACGACTGCTGGGCATCAGAGTGGCACACAAACCCACAACAACCCTACGACAAGTGCTCACCCGAACTAAAGACACACTCCCCGCCATGGACAGGACCAATGTCATCTACAAGATCCCCTGCAGAGACTGCGAGAAACACTACATCGGACAAACAGGAAGGAAACTAACAACGAGTACATGAACACCAACTAGCTACAAAAAGACACGACCAATACTCACTCCTCTCAATCCACATGGACAAGGAGAACCACGACTTAGACTGGGACAACACCAAGATCCTGGGACAGGCTAGGCAGAGACAAGCATGAGAATTCCTGGAAGCATAGCACTCCACGAAGCAGGCTATTAATAAACACATTGAACTCGACCCCATATACATTCCACTACGGAGGAAACCCGGAACTGAGGCAATCCATCGCAACGGACCCCAGAGTTTAAAAGCCAGGCGGGAAAACACATTGACGCTTCATCAGAGGCTGCACTAAGGATGTTACCAAGCACGGTAACGAAACATCCGCGGAACAACAAACCAGCTCGGTGAGCCAACCAACCTCAACAAGGAGGCAGATAATTGAAATATCAGGGAGTTGACAGCTATACTCAAACTGGCACAAAACAGAAGTTGAAGCTGGAGCAGATCAGCCACATCTTGTTGAATGGCAAAACAGGCTTGAGGAGTCTCACATCCTGCTCCTATTTCCTATGATTACCTTCAGCAGGGTAAAGAAAACTCACCACTGCACCTATGACAGATCATGAGGACAGAACAGATCTAGGTTAACAAAGGTGTTAATTGATGAAGAAATGATTCCAAGATACCACATTTTAGCAAATTAATAGGAATTTTGTTCGGATCTCAATAAAATCCAGTTTGAAGAATAACTTTTTTCTAAATGTGGCAGTATTTCACTGAAATGTAAGCATTCTGGACTACACATTTATCTGAAACAACATAAGACTTTTACACATGTAAGTTTTACAAATGTAAGTTTTACAATCCCAACCTCTATAACTAATTTTGCTGTTAATGGTGGATGTTTTATCACATTTGAAATGGTGTTCCTATAAGAGGTCAACATGCAAATAAGCCGAGTACCCAGATGTTCCATACTCTACTGGATATATTAGTTTAGCTGTAAATAAGCCCAGCAAAGATCTCCAATCAAGTGGAATCTACATATTTCATTTGTTTTACATTTAGAAAACACAATACCATTACAGGTGATATGCCAGATCACAAAGCTATAGATTGTGGTTGAATACATTTCTGTTGCTGATGCTACGCAGCATCTCATTGATGTCTTATTTGAACAGCTAGATCTATTCAAAATCTATGCTATTTCCCCCAGTGCTTGTGCCACATAACACAATACAGGGTCCTCACTATGAAGATGGGACTTCTCTGCAAGGCCTGCATGGTGGTCACACCTACCAATATTGCCATGGATAGATGCACCTGTGACAGGTAGACGGATGTGGATGAGGTCCAGTAGAATTTTTCCGTCTTGCTAGTTCCTTCACCAACTGCCCAGTTTGGCAGCTATTTTAGGGATTTTGCCAGCTCAGTTGATAGTGATGCTACCAATCGTCTTGCTGATTGGCACTGAAATTCTCTGTATTTCCTGTGCCTTTTCTACATTCAATGCTTCCTCCTAGTTGTGTTCGACATGACTCCTAGGTCTGACTCACCCACAAGAAACATTCTTTATATATCTAGTTTTTCAAAAATCAGTTTAGTATTGTATACTTAAATCAAGTTATCCCTCACTCTGAACTCCAGTGGAAACAAATTCAGTCTGTTGAACCTTATAAGATATACCACTCATCCCAGGTATCAACCTAGTAAACCTCTGAACTGCCTCCAATGCGTTTACATCTTGGTTAATAAAAAGGCCCATCTAAACATAGTATAAGAGATTTGGCCTTTTCAATGCCTCCTATAAAGCTAAGAATGTTCTTTTTCATTTATGTTCAATTCCCTTCAAGAAAGGATTGCAATCCATTAGCCTTCCCTATTAAACATTGTTCTTGCATACTATCTTTTTGTGATTTATGTACTAAACACCTAGATTCCTGTAAATCTCAAAATTCCGAAGTTATCCTTTGTTTAAGTAATAGTCTGCATTTTTAATCTTCCTGCCAAAGTAACATTTTCTCACATTATACTACACCAGCCAGATTTTTGATAAATTACAACTACACCCATCTGCAAACTAGTTTTGTTCCCCTCTCAACATTCTTCCCTACCAATTTTTTTACTTCCCTCATCCAAGTCATTGATATAAATTAGAAAAGTTTGAAGCCCAAGTATAGACACATTCATTACATGCTGCCAAATTTAGGATGACCCATTTATGTACATTGTTTTCTGCTCGACAGCCACATTCTATCCATGTTAAAATGTTACCCCAATAATGAGGTCTGGCATTGCACAATAACCCCTTATGTGGCACTTTGTCAAATGCTTTCTAAAAGTCTATCAACAGGCTCCCACTTATCCAATTACCTTACTCAAAATGGAAACCAGGCCATTCAGTCCATCAAGCCTGCTCGACCATTGAATAAGCATGACTGATACTCGATCTCAATGTCATATTCCCCTTCCTCCTCATACTATTTGATGCATTTAACATAAATAATTATCTATTTTGAATATAATTAGTGACTTGCTCTGCAGCAGAATGCATAGCCCCTGAAACCTGAAAACAGGTACACAGAGCAAAGCCAACAAAATACAGTGGGGGTAATATGTAAAGGAGAAGTGTTCATGCATTGACGTTGTGAAACTCAGTATTGAGTCCTAATGAATGGAAAATGCCAAAGTGGAAAATTAGGTGTTGTTCCTCTTGTTTGCGTCAAACATCATCACACAGTTTCAGTCACTATCTGTGGCAGCTCTCCAAGTGAACATCTCAGTCTCATTCTCCTGTCTTCTTAATATTCTCCATGTTGTTCCTTCTCAAATAAGCTTTGATTCTTTTTTGAACACCAGGATTGAATCTGTCACCAAACTCTCAGGTTGTTCATTCTAGACCCTCACCTTTCCTTTTGGTGAAAAAGCTTTTCCTCATGTCTCTCTTGCTTCTTTATTAATAACTTTAAAACTGTTGTAGTGCTTCAAATGAGATTCAACATGGAGGTGGGCAAGGGTCCAAACAAGGGAAAGGTTTTATTCTATCATATACATATGGAGTTACAACTGGAGAGGGACTGCTCAATGACGTAAAGTTTCTTTACATATTTATACATTTTGCAGTGTACTATGTCACATGACGATAAACAGTACATGACAATAAAATTAACAATGTCTCCAGGTCCCAGTTCAGATAAATTCCATTGTAAGACTAAAATCCTGGATTCACATTGGC